GGTCTGTGGGAGTTGAACGCAGAAGCGATGGTGTGCGTCGGGGGCAGTCGCGTAGTAGAATATTAAACGTTTTTAATATTTCTCACGACGGCTTAAGACTGTCCCCGACGATAAATCGGGTCGGACTGCGTCGGCCGACGCTGTCTGAGTTGGCCTTAAGCAGAGAGGCATACCAACAACATTTATTACTTTATTTAAGATTTTTATTTATGTTATTATCGTTATACTGCTGCAGGTATGCATTAACTACAAAGCAAACCCAGACATAATAGGCCGATTATAATATTATTATATAGGCTAGGACAATAATCATACAACAAATTACTAAATATTGGCTTAAACAATTTCCTATTTCAATCATAAGCTAAATGTTTCTAGTTTCATTTCCATTGTTGGAGTCGAATCTTGCCCTGGTTTTTAGTGTCTAGTTGACATCTTCCTGATTCAACCATCTTCCGCGTCTAGCCAGGGAGTATGCATGATTTGTTTTGATCGTGAAGCACCTTTTCTTCCTGTTCAGTCGTTCATAAAGACAAAAAATCCCTCCTTGCTGGCTTGAGATGTGATGATGATAGAGAAAGAAGTGTGAAACAAAGACATTTTTATATCAGATTTGAGCCAAAAAAGAAAGCTTACTTACATTTTTAATGAATATACAGTTGATAAATGCTTTACAATGGTATCATCGGCACTGAAAAATGAATTCAAGTTATCTCATACTTTCATATCGTTTGAAAACGACAGGAATCCCCACCCACATTACTTACAATGGTAACCGCTTGCGCTTCCGGTATCGTACGTGCTGTACGTCATTTCCTGCCTCTTCTCGCCTCTCAAGATTCAAGAATACTACCACCACTAGTACGTTAGCACTCTTATTAACTAATATGCCATGTGCCTCTTGTGCCAACTTATTACATATATTGCATTATCTTACTCTAAAACAAATCATTACACAATTGAAATTGTTGATAGTGTGGCAATTTGAACTTTATATTTTATAATGTGTATTCCTCGCAAATATGGTACCTCGCATTAGAATATTTAATTTACTGTATTTACTTGGTGTGATTTTGAGTGCATGCTGTGTGAGGTATGAAAAGCGGGGTGAGTAATTTGGTGTTAATGTGACTAATAATAGTAATGCTATTTTCTAAATTTAGTGAAAAGGCTCATACATATTTTAAATTATATTCCTTAAAACACTAGCCCCTGGCTCTATATAAAATGAATATACTTTTATGATTTTGGTCGGAGTAATGTCGAGAATGCAGCAAGGGCTAAACCTGCCCGGCCCCTAGTCTAGCCTACTACTACTAGGCCTACTACTACTACACACTAGGCTAGTAGTAGTAGTAGTATAGGTTAGCTCAGCATCTTCTCTGTGTGTAGTATTATATAAGGTTACCACCGAATTCGAGTAAACTCGGCCCTATGTCAACCCGGTCCCATGTCAACTTGGCCCAAAAAAAATCAACTACTTGTCAACTTGGCCCCAGAATGTCAACTCTGCCCCATATTCTTCTCATTCAAATGGTACACGCGTGAAAATCGGGATTCCCAAAAGCGAATAAGCGAATAGAAATTCATATTTATAATTTGGTTACTATATAAGGCAGGCACAAACTGCACTGATTGTATGAATCTAACTCTGCTCCCTGGCGATAGACGACGTGGCACCGTCTGCTGATGTTGTGGTGTTGCGTTCTTCATAAAATTGCAGAGCAGAGATGCTTAAAAGGGGGGACTGATCAAGATAAGACCAACCTAGGGGGTCCGAGGGCATGCTCCCGCAAAATTTTTTGTTTTTTAGATGCCCAAAAATAACCTCTGAGGTGTTTTGGACGATCAATTATTTCTTTTTTTTTGACCGATGACCGTCAGGCACAGTGAGGGCCCGACTTAACCCTAAAAAAACACTCTAAAAAAGCGCAAAAAAATTCCCATAACTAAATTTTACCGATGATTACACTGATGACACTTTTTTTAAATTTATATAATAGCCTAAATAGAGTTGTATTGCAAAAACAAGTGAGCAGAAGAGGTTTCACCATTATTCAAGAATTCATTAATAAATTTACAGAAATATGCAGTGGTCAAGGCAAGCTGTACTACAACTGTACCGGCAACTTATGCGGCAGAGCAGTAGTCTTCAGTACACTGACCAGGAGTTCTATAGACGCTATATTAGGAATGAGTTCAAAAAGAACATGATGTTGAGATCTGAGGAAGAGAAGCTTCAGCAGCTACAGGTGCTACTGATGGTTTGTCACAACATATTGTGACTCATTTCATGAATAGTATACAGGAAAAATGTATATATACAGTGCACATAGGCGTAGGCAAATTAGTTCCACCAAGTGATTTAAAATACTAAACATGACCCATTCATTGGAATAGGGATTTAATTCAGCAGTCTCAATTTGTGCACCCCCAGTCCCAGGCCATTATGCACCCTCCACCCCAGACCACAACCAGCCTATGCCCCAGGTGACCCTCTAATTCTGAGACCCCTTTGTAGATGGCCAGGAATGGCCCTCTCAGACTTGTATTTAAATATAATTTTAGGAGGATGGGACTCCCCCCACCCCTCCACTTGAATCTGCCAATGAATACTGAATACAAGTAATAGCAGAAGTTTTAAAGGAATTTAGGGTTTTGGCTGACAGTTATTAATGTCAGCACATACAATTTACTGGGAATTGCTTCCGATAATAGACATGCACAGTTGAAACAACTAGATGGCTTATTAACTGTTTTTCATTACAGAAAGGAAGACACTACCTGAAGAAGGCTCATGGCATTCTTGTGTAAAGTACCGTATGGCAATTCATAAAGTTTGCTGATGGTGAGATATTTCTACCAAAAATGCTTTTATTGCAATAATAATATGTATAAAGGATTAAAAGATTATCATTAGGGGAAAAATTATTTGGATAGGAATGGATCTCAATCCACTTCTCATAATTCACTCATTCCATTTAATACATGCTTAATACAGAAGGATCAGTCATCATCAATGGCGTATCTAGAAGTCTTGAAATGGGGGTGCTGATGGGGGGGCGCGAAGTTGAAGTGTGGGGGGGTCAGCTCGATGATCAGTTGAGGGGCACTAATTCGCAAAATAAAGTGATTTTAGGTGATTTTTAACTACTTGACCATTTTTTTTTTTAGGGGGGGGCGCGAGTAATTTTTGCAGAGGGTTCGCTCTACTTAGTTACCAGTATGTGCGTGGCGCCATATTTGCTACTAGCTAGCTACTCAGGCTAGGCTAGGCCATTGGATGTCCCCCACTGAAAAGTTGTGAGACCAGGTGTATAGGCTACTCAATAATCAATTGTTTATTCACTAGGGCAACCTTAAATCTACCATGTGCGTACGAGGGAATCGCTCACGATGTTTCACCCAGTTAAAAACTTGCTGTTTAAAGATCATTTTTGTCCAATTGCCTTACCTTTACGATTTATCATGACTTTACAAAAAGGTCTCTGCAGTGGACATGAGTAAATAGAGAGTGTTTGTCAAGCAATTATATTTCTGGCCAGTATAAATCAATGATGTAATTTCCATAAATATAATAAATCTTTAAAATCTGATAAGAATTATATATAGAATATATTTATGCTTGTTAGTTATATGATGCTCTTGTGCATTTTTTATCAATTGTAAAAGACCTTTCAAATGTAAAATCTTTGTGTAAAAGGAAATGCCTTATCACCTACAGTTATTCAATTAAAATTGGTCACATTTTATTTGTTACCTTGGCAATTAATTATGCTCAGGCTCAAAACAAAAGAGGGAAAAGAATGCACATCATTCGCTGAACAGAAATATTAAAATCTGTCAAATATTCTCTGCATTGCTTATAGTTTGTTGGTGCATTACTAATGTGTCCAAGCTGGCTTGCTGTTCTTTCGTCTGAAACAACTCATGTGTTATATTACTGAATAAGCAGACGCATTCATCTATCAAACGTTCCACTCTGAGTGATGGATAGTAATAGTTATAATTCTTATATTATTAGCTATTGTGTTTTAATCCTACAATTCAGGCAGTCCTCCATGCCCATGTTATTATTTGCAATAGCATACTAGAGTTCACACAATGAATCAGACAGCAAATTTTTAAAAAATAGAGAATTCAGGATGTTTGCATTCAGAAGGATGAAAATATATAAATTTATATACAGTATATACATTATTATGTTAGCAGAAATATTTCCAAAACTTACAAAAATCAATGATTAAATATCACAAAATCTATATATTTTGTGAAACCAAAGAGTAAGTTTACGTAGCTAAAACTGAAAGTATATTTAACAGTAGTTTTGTGTTTCAGGAAATTGTATTGGAGGACACGATGTCACCATAGGAAGAATAACCATCAAAAACCTATGGCTGTATTGTTTGTGTAGCAATGCTGAAATAATTGTGATGGCAGTCCGTTCCAGGTTCCAATGCATACAAACGCTTTATCGCAATCATGTGTCGTTGCTTTACAGTTATTACTCATGCTGTTTTTATGAGGTCCCAAATGATCAACTTTGAGGCTCAACATCAAAAGGTCCCAAGTTATCAACATCGCTGGATGAATCAGCCTCGTTAAATTTTTTTTTTTGAATAAAATGAGCTAGCTGTGTGCAAGTAACTGTCAGTTTGGTGCATATATAGTATTCATACATTGTGCTAATGTCTTGTTGATGTGATATCTTCAGGTTATTTTTTAATGTACATTTTAGTTTTTACTAATTTTAATTACAACTTGGTGTTATTTTCAATTTAATTCTGCTTAGATGTTGCATAATATATGTGATACATAATTAATGCATTGTTAGCACAGCCACAGAACCTGGTACAGCGTTAAGTGTGTCAAGGTGTATTTTTCCAATGACGACGTTTTATGACGGTAGGTGGCGCTATTTGGTATTTATGTATTTGTGAATGACAAAGAAATCTTCTGAATGATTAGAAAATTGAATTGCATAGAAAGAGAGGAAAGTCTCAAATTTCAACGAAATCATTTATTTAAATAAAAAGTATTGAGAATTAATAAGTGAAAACATAGAATTGAGCACAGAAATGATATACCATCGCTCTTAAGTTTTGTTTGTTTCTGTAGGCCTACTTTGTTAATTTACACCAGTTAATATTCAAACATGTTAAAAACTACTTTGATTTTTTATGTCTGTATCGATGCTAAAATTATTAAATGTGAAAATGGTAATTAACAACAAAAGTATGCTGCATATTATGCTATTTCATGCTCGTATATAAATTCACGCTACGAAAATGAAAGTTGATGTTTGTTATAATGTGGTTGACTTTTAATAACTCGGCCAATCTGTGGTTTATAACGTTCCTCTGTCAACTGGGGTTAATCAAGTTCGGCAATTTCAAACGAAATTTCAAATACTTTTTCCATACTTATCAGTATCCACTGCATTAGTTCTGAAACTGAAAACATAAACAAGTATTTTTATAAACAGCATTCTCGATTCACTGAAATGAGCCATAGTCTGGTTTGTGTGATTTAAAGGTAACATTCTGTTAAAAATCAGATAGACCCTTAAAAGTTGACGAACTTAATTTGAAACAAAAATGTTTTTGTTCATTTTCAATCCTAGTATTCGATTGTACTTGTGTTTTTGAAAGCCTTAAAACTATCAGGTTTAGGCACAGACCGTCGCCATATCTTTAAACACACGAGCGCTTTCTGTTGGCGGAGCGTTTGTATCAGCAGAGAACCACATTAAGGTTAATTCACACACCTCTGTGCACGTCTTGCATTTATGCACTCTGCTACATACTCGTGAAAGTGATTCATATCATATAAGAAAGTGTGCGATGCATTCACATAATACTGGAAACGGATTCGATTGCGTTTTACACATGGCATCGTCTTGTGATATTCCCGCGCTGTTAGACGTAAGCAATGATGATTATGGTGGTAATGATGATGATGAAGATGAGGACAACGATGGTGACGACGACGATTATATGATGACAATGATGATGATCATGATGCTGATAAAAGATGATGGTTCCTATTTAGAGCATATTACAAAACCTACATTACAGCAACCTACTTTCAATCCAATGAACTTTTGTTTTTATTAAGACGCTCATTAGCAACCTGGGTCATCAGGGAACTGATTTCCGGATGTTCAGAAAGGGCTGAAAATGCAAGAAACAACATTTGAAAACTAATCGTCTGGGCCTATATCAAAGTAGACCTGGATTTTGTGCTATCATAACGGAACTATGAATTATGATCATCATTAGCTGGCCGAAACTATTTCGATATCTTCAGCAGCGGATCATATCAAAAAGAGCCAATCAAAGTCATAGCAATTAATTAACTAATTTACTACCGGTATTCTGTGAGTGTGAGATTTCACAGTCTTTTAGAAAAGAATATAAAATCATTTAGGCCTTAATTATCATCATATAGGCCTATTATACTATATCATCATATGGATGTACATTACATACTAGCGTAATGTCTTTACCTTCGTTGAATTTTTCTCTACTTAAACTGTAAAGATCGCACGTAGCAGTTGCTACGACTGTTGCTACCCGCTTGATGTCAGTCAGCAGAGCAATTTCTGTCAATCAATCAATCAATCAATCAATCAATTAAAATGTTAGTTTTAGATGTTTTCGAAATATTAGTGAACCGTTTTTGGTTCCTGAATATTGTTGTGTCAATGAAGCATGACCCTTTTGTTTCTTGAACACTTCTTGGTTTGGTGTTAACATTTTTGTGGTTATTATTGAAAGCTATGAAAAAATGAGAACAAACTTGGCTACATCACGATATGAAACAATACGTTGATCTGTTGTTTAGTTGTCACCAATGCATAAATAAAAATAAATAAATAAATAAAAATATATATAGGCCTATGTGGTACTTTAATACTCCAGGGGACAGAACATTGGCCACGAGTATAAAATATAAACTCTACCTCCAAAATGATCTCCATCCGATAGTCTGCCTATTACATTACCCTCCACAATGATCTCCACCGACCCGTGTTCAATGAAATACATGGCCGTGCCTCGAGTATCTGCCTGAATAATCTCATCGCCTTCTAAATAGACTTCAAATTCGAGTTTCTGTATCAATTCAGCAACAAAGTCCGGATCGGCGTTATCTAGGAAATCCACTTTGCTAATCAGAGACTTGCACTGATGCTGAACTAAAGCCTTAGAAACAGAGTTATGGAAGAGGGGAGAGGTTTATATTTAGAGCATACTAATAATTCCAATAGCATACTATAGAACTATGTGTACATCCCTTACAAACAAATATAGAGCCTCTGACACGCACATAACTGCATCAGGCTTCCAACTTGAAATCTATATTTAGGCATACCATCATCATAATGGCCGTTGTCGTCGTCATCATCATCATCATCATCATATAATCATCATCATCATTTGTTAATTATTATTATATTCATCGACACCATTACATTACTATCATTATTGTTATCTCTCATGGAGTGTTACAATTTGAACCAACTAGAAAACACGATGACAATGCTTGCAATGTTTCTGACGGTAAATTTTACTTACAAGTCTGAGGGGTTTGTTTTGTTCACTTATGATTGCATGTTCATTAAAGTATTTTCGTTGATATCGGTGTTCATAATATTCCAGAACCCTCTTCTGAGTCTGATATGGAACCTTATGGAATCTCATGTACTCCTTCACTTGGTTGATCTAAAGAAAGTTATTTGGTTCCATTGTGATTAAGTTCAACAAACACGTACCGTAATTCTCGGGGGCTCGTCCGAAACTCCCCCCCCCCCCCCCCAACGCGAGAGATGGGGTTCCGTGAAAATTAGGAAGATTTTTTCATTGCCGTTTTATTCTGTAGGCCAACAAAAGCGGCCTAAAACAAAAATAGTACATACATGTAGTTAGGGATCCCAGGTCAACTATTTAAAATGAATCTTGGAGAATTTGATTGAGTTTACTAATAAAAGTTACTATTATGATAAAATCGAAAAAATTATGATAAACCTAGTGGATAGGTTTGCATCAATGCATCCCCGTAATGACTCTGAGGAGCCTGCTAGACGAGTGACTTTATATACATCTACTAACTGGTTTACCAGCTGTATTGTCTGGTTGAATGTAGAACATAGACCTAATGTATTATTTTATGTTAACAACCAAACAGTAGGGGCCTACTTGCTCATTAAAGCTAATGTATGCTTTAATACATGTTGTTTTTTCTTATTTTTAATCTGCTAATGAATGTACTTACAGTTGAACCTCGTAACAACATACCCCCTCGGACCATAGAAATTGATTCATTATATATCCATATAGCACATGTATGTCATAACCAGGGTAAAAAGCCATTGATTGTAATCTTTGGAACTTAAAGTACTTAATTTATATCACTGTTTTACACTGGAAAGGTTTGGACCTATTATTATAACGAGGTTTGGATGTAAATGTATAGTTAACGTTGTTCGCTTTTGGATGCACATTATTTTAATTAATCAAAATAGATATTTATATACTAGTGTTATGAATTTCAATTAAGAAAGGTTAAAAGAAATGAAAGTTAAACATTTACTGTTCATATGGTTTAGTTATGTTTAGAATAATCAAAATGTCCATGATAAATATACTTTTATTCACGAATTCATTTAAGAGTAACTGATATAGAAACACAAAAATTTTATGAAATAATGAAATCACAATCAAAAGTATTATTGTTTATTTAAACAAAGTATTACAACAGATAATCATCTTTTAATTATCCACAATTTAAAATATAATAATGTTAACTAAGCTAAGGCTGGGCATTCTAGAACTTGAAATTGAAACTGGTCATTGGAGCAATACTCCACAACGAAACTGTATTTGTAAAATGTGCATGCAATGAGTTAGTGGAAGACGGGTTTCATTTCAACATTAGAAAGAAGTTTATTCAGCAATATTATTTCAATTATCCATCAATCAAGAAGTTGTCTTTTTTAATGTCTAATATTAAGTTAACAATTATTCAACTGGCAAAATATACTCATCTTGCTTTTAAGAAACGAACGATTTGGGCGAGACTTTTTTAAACTTTGTTTCTCGAACTTTTTTTGGAAAATATTTCAAGAGGAGGGCGGAAAAGAAATAAAAATAAAATTATATTTATATTTATTTGAGGAATATATACTTCGTGTATCACATAGTACATCTTTTTACTATATTAAAAAGTGGTATGCAACTTTAAATTTTCGGGAAAAGAGATTCCATGTAGCGGAGGACAGAATAAAAATAAATATAAATTTTTATTTTTATTTCTTTTTTTTCCATTTTTCATGGCGGCTCGTACGCTAACACACTTATAATAAAATGTTATTTTTATTTTGAAATCCACAATTTCGGAATCGGAGGGTTCGCTAAAAAAGGTATAAAAAAGTCTCGCCTTATTTAAAGAACTAAAAATGTATATTTATTTATACTGTAAAAGGGCCTGAGGCCTATCACACTGAACAAAGTCCCCATTTAGGGGAGAGAAGAAGAAGTATGTGGGTTTTGATAAGGAGTTCCGCATAGTCCCGAGCCGATCCCCCCCCCCCATTGAAATTCCTAAATACGGGCCTGGTATATCGTAACTTCCCCTAAGCCCTGCCCCATTGTTGCTAAGTTTCGTGCCTTAAAGCGTAAAGTACATTAACTTGCGTGTTATGCGCGTATAAATGGCTATTAAATACGGTAGTTCTGATTGGTCAGTTGTGTTGATTGTCAAAGGTCCATTACACAGGAGTTTTAATATCTGTGATATATTTTATTACAGAATAGAATAATTAATGCGAGCTCAATATTTATTATGATGTCAGATCTGACATTGCAACATTAATGTTTAGCCTTCATGTGGACTTACCCTCTCGTTGTAAAGCCGTCCTGCTGCGTCGATAGATAGCAAGAGGCTCGACATGTGGCCGATGAAGAGTGCGTAAAAAGTGGCGCCAAAGCACACACTTACAACGGTCATCCACATCTCAGTGATGTTGGCAGGTGGGAAACGACCGAACCCAATTCCTAACATGTGACAAATCGCTTTGAAAAATGACCAGGAATACTGTTCCCATTTAGTACCATTCTGAAACAAACGAAAATACATGCCATTGAATATTATCAAAAAAAAATATTAATGAATCATTTTTATTTTAAGAAGATTAATTTTGACCATATGCTGTTAAAGAGATAGGCCTACCGTCTGTGAAGAGCTAAACAACTCAAAAATAAGAAATTCAAAGCAAACTTTAAAAAATTTATTGAATTTTAATACAGTGTTAAAACTGTATTCAAATTCAATAAATATTGTTAGCTTTGAATTTGAGCATTATAATGGGAAAAAAAAAATACTTCACCATTCAACGGGAATATAGGCCTAATATTTTTTCCTATTTATTTGCATAGACCCTTAAATCTGCTGGTCCTCATTTAAGGTTTATACGATTTGATTTTTTAATGAACAATTCTAATTTTAACAGTTTTTGAGGGGTTTTAAAAAAATATTTTACCAACACGGTACATTTTTAAGGCCTATTCATGACAATAGTTACCACATGCAATCAAGACAAAACGAAGATGCCTAACATGTTGCACTCTATTCTTTCTAAATGATCTGATTCAAGTATCAGTTTCGGTGACAAATAGGCCTATGATGATAGTCATGATGACTTCACCAAATCTGATTATTAGATTATGGTCAGCTAATTGATGACTTGTGCTGACACCAGTAGAGAAGTGTATCAGCATTTCTGGGGCGGATGCAAGGGGTGGAGGTTCGATCGCACCCCCTGTTGTGTTTTGTTGACATAAATTATTGGTAAGATCTTTAAAGTATGAGAGTGCAATTCCGGGCACCCAGAGGTCCATATTCTCAAAATGTTCGTACCTCAGCCCCAACAAAGTTGGGGATGAGGGGGTGTGGTCTCGTGCACCCATGGGCGCAGGGGACACGTCCCCCAACATATTTTTAAGGGATGTGGTCTGCATAAGTCAAGAAGATATGCCTGAAAAGTGTTGAAATAAACTGCATAAATGAGACCCAGGTTTTAACGAAAGAGGGCTGTACAGCCAGAGTGCATCTTATTTTATAGCAAGTATCGGTAGGCCTATCTCTGCCTACAAACATTTTAATTACCTATAATACACGACTTGAGTGCGCGTGTAAATTTATTAATTTCAGAAGATGAGAAAAAGCGTGCGAATATAAATGTCATTTCCGGCCATAGATACTGTTTCCTCAAATTTTCTCACCTCAGCCCCAACCATCGTGGGGCTGAGGAGGATGTGGCCACACTGCTTTGTGGTAGATCAAGTAAATCAAATATATCAAAGAAAGTGTTTCTTTAGTTTTATTTTCTATGGTTGCCGAAAATCTCTGATAAAAGATCATGAGAATTTGTTGGCGCTTCCATTTGACTATCCATATAATGATGATGAGATGATGACGAATGTTGCTATAAAGTGTCATTTCCGGCCATTACGGGTATGCTATTTCAACGAAATGTCCCCCTCCCCCCTTTCAAAACAGATCTGCGCCCTTGTAAGCACTCCTTACCGCTAAATCCTCCATCCCAGCATTTTTTCACCGAAACTGATCATTTAGGTAGAATGGGGCATGCCAGGCCTACACACAAGACACAGAAAACAATCTAAATATGAACAATATTTTGTTTTACTACATTATTTGGTGAATAATAGGCCTAGACATTATCTTACCTCAATGTTATTAATAGCGACCCAAGAATCGACAGGAAACCCCATAAAAAATGGAACGAGAAATTGCAGACATGCATTCCAGTGGGTTATTACTAATGCGACGGCAACAAGATTTACAATACGAATAACGGCTCCTTCGATATTCAACAACTGTATAGAAAAATAAACAAATAGGCATAGGACGTTTAACAATAACCAATCAATAACAGGATATAGGCATAGGACTTTTAACAATAACCAATCAATAACAGGATTATTATCTATTATATAGGCTAATTTAATGACAATAAGATAGTATAATACATACACCAAGTATCGAAAATGTACGCTATCGTGTCGGGATTCAGATAAAAATAACAATAATGATGGTATAGTTTTAGTAATAGAATTTAAACTTGCCTCCTCCATTCGTTGGACATATCTCATAAGGCGTGACAGACGCAACAAACGAAGTAAACTCAACACTTTTATCAATCTATAAGACGAAAAAAAAAATATACTGTATATATTACACATACACACTATTACCTGTCTCTTATACACATCTAGATGTGTATAAGAGACAGAGAAGATGGTCTATATGAAAAGAAAAAGTAAGGGAGCTATCTAAAATAACTCCAAGATCACGATGTTGCAGCACCTTATTAATCGGTTTGTCGTCAACTAAATAAATATAATCGATTTATAAATAGCTATTTAGGTTCTTTGATACCAGTATAAGTTGAATCCACTCTATGGTGGTTTCTACTAGTCAATCAGCTTATCTATACATAACAAGGTAGTTTTGTTTTGTTTGTTTGTTTGGTTTTTTTTTTAATGCATCTTTCCAAGATGGCAAGAACACACACACAATCCACTGAATATGGAGCAACATAACATTGTCCCGTAATATTTCGTTTTATATTATTCGCGACCGTTTGTTGCCTTAACTCTGAGGTAGAATATAAACTACACCAAATAGGAGCAGACAAGCTCTCTCACTTCAAAATACACTCATAACCAAATCATGATAGGAAACTCGTGCAAGTTTAGATTTTGACACGTGGGATACGACTAAAGCGATTTCCTCACCTAGTCAGAGGAAGTTACTGATCTCTGGAGTCCACAGCTAACTCCCAAAGGAAATCAAAAGAAACTTCCTACTAAATATCATGGGGGACGTGTGACAACTCCAGGTGGAATTAACTCATCCATAAAAATAACCACGCATAGGACGAGTCCACTTTTCCATAGGTAATTATTTACTTTACGTTACGTAAGGCCAAGTAAGGGTGCGCGCGAGCGGTTTTCGTTCGAATAAATATTCACTCTTCGTTATGCAAATACCAACACTGTTGACGGGTCAGCTAAGCTTTTTCATCAATTCGTGGCCTGAAACACCCCAAATTATTTTCAGACTATTTGGAAGTAATTTCAGGTGGAATTTTATGAGATGATGCACAACTTTGCACAATTCTTTGTAGAATTTTGGACACAGTCACATGTTGCAGAGTTAAACATGTTTGTTGGTATACCTGATCATCAGTCCGCATCATGCATCATCTGCACAGTTTAATTTGTTACTTCGATTGCTTTGCACATTCTCGCCAGATGGCGTTTTGGGAATCGTGTTTTTTTTTCTAATTTTCCTGTACGTGACTTTTGCAGGAAACACCGCTCGGGCCGTCCCGGACGGTAGGTAGTTGCTAAATACATTGAATACAACCATATCAGTCAACGGGGCGTGGCTTGTAGGGTAACGTCAGTTTTATAATTTATTGACTTTATGTAAATATTTGCTTTGGTTTATTCAAATTAGCAACTCTCGATGATGGAGCAAATTAAATGATGCAGAAATTTAAATTGATTGATGTTATTAGTAGGATAGTACTGGCTGGCAATATTCGAAATACCAATTCAAATTAATACACACACTGTATATTAATTAGTTTTATTACTTCATTTTGGCTTGTAGTATTATAACTCATTTACAAAACAAATGAAAAGAACAGATTTATATAAACACAATATCTGGTTATAGGTAGGTACATTTATTGAATTGGAATTAGACACAATTTTAGAGAACTCTCCAGTAAAGGTAGCCTATATTTCAAATAAATACTTCACAGATGTTCGAGATGATATACAGTATTATGCAAAATTCTAACTCTGGAACCACTTTATGATCCTCATATCTCGTCGAATAATTAACCTGTCCCTTGTCATACTACATTTTGTAGTCTCCACTTTTTAAATATTATTGTATTATCACAGTGATGATCATGTATGAGCCTTGGCGATTATTTTATGCATAGTTTGGAGGCTTCTGTGTGGAACAAATTGAAAAACAGGAGCTTATTTGAGAGCTACACTTACTACAACGATTAACATGTGCAGCATATCTAGGCCTGACATTTAACAGCATTATTATCATTAGTTCTCTGACAAATTGGTTATTTAAATTAGCATCACATAACCTCAAAGGGACGTTGGGTATTCTTTCAATTAAGTGCCACATTATTTAGAAATTGAAAATAATAATATGTACTACAGTAGCACTATTTTTGTCTAGCCTGTTTTCCACTTGGCGAATGTATTTGCGCGAATCGAAAGTGTTTATGCGCATTCACATTTCTATGGGTGGTTTTCGCTTCAGCGAAATCGGTACTGTAATTTGAACTCTTTCTACTCACTTTTCATGAAGCGAAAAATACGCAACCAATCAGAGCTCAGGAAGTGAACCAACACTTTCGATTTGCACGAATAAATTCGCGTTGTAGAAAAAGTCTTCAGGAAAGGCTAGGCTAGATGCCAACACTATTCGAGCACCTGCAAGTCATGTACCTGCTAACCACTGCTTGTCGGTGGTCTCAAATTGCAGGTGAACGGAGCAATAGTGTTGGTTCCTCTGCATTAGTCTGTTCGGTTTTATAGCATGGTTAGCTTAGTTTACATACTAGAAGAGATTTTGCATTTTTTGTTCTCTGTATAGCACATTGAGACCACGTATTATGCGATATACAAGTCTCCAACAAAGGTCTTATAATTACAAGATAGCGTTCTCCTCAATTTCCGTGTGCAATAATGCAGTGTATATTGCCTTCTTGCAAAGGTGATTACTTTTCAACTTTGACATGAGAGATCGTTAACTAAAAATAGCACATCTGTGTGCAAATTCTATAAAAGCCACGGGAACGACTAGGACGCCCTCTCTCAAAAGCGATTACTTTTTATGTTTCTTATTACTGAACATCGATGCTTCTATTTGTTACTTGTAGAATCACAGATAGCGCTATCTTGTGTTTATAAGATCTTTGGTCTCCAACCATTACCACTACCATTACTCAAGAAAGGTGCTTATTTTTTGTCTAATATTGTATATAGAACGACATATTGAAAGCAAGAACCCTACAACTTGCACAAAATAAAGTTTATACACTTATACACTCGAGAATAAATAATATTACTGTTTGTCCAGTCATTTATTTCTATTTGAGAAAATAAATTTCTCTAAGATCTGTATGTACATAATAATCTTTCATTAAAGTTTATCAGAGCAAGTTCACAAGCGTTAAACTTCAAAAACTGTACATAAATAAGGGGTTCATTTTTTTTGTAAAAATCTTGATTTCATTTTCTTTATCCTTCTGCTCTTTTCGAGATTGCCTCATGAATATCATCCACAACACACACAGCTGCTACAGGAATTTTTGTCCCAGGCCCAAATATGCTCTTCACACCAAATTCATACAGTATGTCATAATCCTGTGGGGGTATTACACCACCAACGACAACAATTATATCTCTGCAAAAGAATATAAAGTAATAATTATTTATAATAATATCATAGTTCATATATAAATGGATTGAGGTCATTCTTACATATATACATGTAAGTGATCAAAAAATCATTCATTAATACATAAATAAAATATAATAAAAAATAATATTAGTTAAATAAAAGGTAATTTTGATGACAAAAATAATTTATCAATACTTAGTAACCTTAAATTTTCCAGTGTCAAATTATAAAAACAAATATATAGATGTTGCTTCATTGTGGGAACAACAATAAAGTTTATGTTTATCTTGGAAAAAATAAAATGAATCAACATCAGAACCAGGATTTTGAAAAAGGGTCTGGTTTTGGAAATGGGTAATGAAGACAGCATTCAGAGTGTTATGGTTTGTTTCAGCTGAATTTTCCTATATCTAAATTAAGGCTATATACACAGAAAGTTGGCAGTTACAATGAGGGAGAAGGTACTTACCCCCTGTCTAATGCATGCAATTCTTTGATGAGCTCTGGCACCAGTGTCTTGTGGCCAGCAGCTAATGTGCTTACACCAACCACATGGACATCAGCATCTATTGCTTGTTGAGCTACCTCCTTAGGTGTCTGACAAATATACAATCATTTATTATTATACCTACGTTCTCAGAAAAACTACAATGTTTGGAATATGGATTAATACATAGTGGTGATATATATCCTTGGGCAAGGCACAGTATCTATGGTCCCTCTCTTTATACTCAGGTTTTGTAATTTTATTTCTATTCATTTAAGTAGCCACAAGAGCAAAAAGAAAACCAAAGAAAAAATAAAAACCTATAAAAGCTACCAGAAAACCATTAAAAGATGAATCATTAAAAATCATTATTGCAATTGGTAAAATTTACATCAATAAAATATTATAATTATTATTAATATTATTACTTTTATTATTATCATTAATATATATTTACAATTTGTTTTAATAAAATGATTTCATTAAAATTGAGTATCAAATCAGTTAACATTAAAATAATTAAAAGACAATTAATTCAGTTATTTAATAAGCATTAAGCTAAAGTTACTAAGAAATTAATCTTATCTACTGCACCCCACCTTGAATCAACCACTAAATATATCACTGTACCACTTAAAAGTGGCAATCCCTTTGACAAACATACACAAGATACTTCACATAAAATAAGTCTCATTGCTTAGATAGTGGAGTGGTTTTGGCTGTGAGAAAAGAGAGAAATGGCACTGGATCTCAACTCAAATACCAAGTCAAAAGGGAGTTGAGTCTACTTGAACCAAGGCAGATCCATAGCATGAACTATTTCACACCTTATCAACAATGCAGGCCCAGGTATCTAACTTCTAAGCCTAGCAAGATTCAGCAAAATCTCATTGTAACCCCCATTATGTTTATTCACCTGGAATAAAGGTCCAATATCAACATCAAACCCAATGTCAGCAAAGCTGGTTGCAACGATCTTAGCACCTCTATCATGACCGTCCTGACCCATCTTGGCAACAAGCAGTCTTGGTCGACGTCCCACGGCTTCTTTGAACTCCTACAAAAAAATGAACATCAAGAAACTTTGATACACTAAAAAGAAGGATTGGAATGCATTTTTTAAAGACAAAGGGAAAAAAAATATTTTTATATACAAGCACTGTATTAGTATAAAAAAATAACGCTAAAAAATGATCGACATTTCGACTCCTTCATGGTGTCATTTTCAAGATCAAATGATGAAGTAGAATATACAGTAAATTATAATTGTCAAACTTTTTATATTTATCAAACTAATTCATTAAGCTTCATCAGCCGATGGTGGCCAAAAATTACATTTCTGCTCTTAAACCCTGTACAGACTATCAAAATTTTATTTGGCAAAACATGTGACATACCTAAATATGGTAATGATGACATCCTATCTTGACCATATATAGGCACATCATGACTATATATGGGCATACAACAGTTCTTTTGTCAGAGAGAATTTGATAGTCAGGACAGAACCTAAGTGAATGCTGAATGTGACACTGTCTGCTTATTATCGATGGCAGCGCGAGTGGGTCATCATTAAAAGTTATCTGTTGCGTGCCTCATTGCGTATTACATTGTCCGACGACCATATATGATATGTGTGCCCGCCTTTAGAAGTAACAGTAGTTCGTTACTGGGGACCACTGCTAGCACTATTAAGCTTTAACTACCATTTTGGGATGTGTACTTTTGCTCTATTTTGGAAGGCACCTGGATGTCAAATAAAAAGCATTTTTGTTTTTCCCAACTTTTAACTGATTCAAATACATCAGTATTTTAAAATCAAATTATTTTATAGAAACAATTGCACTTCCATTGGAAAGCTCCATATGAATGTAAATAATATTAAATTAAATTATTATGGGTAATACTCTATAAGAAATAAGTCCAAAAAGTAAACATTTACCTCTACTTTCTTGAGGCACATTTGTAACTCGGAGTCATCCCCGTACTCGGTCTTGTAGGCTCCGCTAACCATCCTGTCTGTAGCGATGTGACGCTTGAACACCTTTTCCATTGCCATGGAGATCTCGCCTAAAGAACATCTTGCCTTTGCAGCCTGGATAAAAGGACAGGATTTTGAATATACCGTATTACCACTGTATCATCATTATGTTAGACAGCAATTACCATTTTTCAATAATAAAAATGGTATTAAGAGTAGAACATTATGTAGAGTATTGTTAATATTGGAAATAACTAGATAATCAATAAAATAAAATGAGAATGGAAAAGAATGAATGAAATTGATAGTAGTAGTAGTAGTACTTAGTAGTCACAGGAATATTGAGCATGGTAGGATGTTCCTTACCCCTGCTTAGTAGATGCAATGGTGGAATGTTTCTTACCTCCACAGCAAGATGTAGTAGATTCCCCTGTCCTGTCTTACTGCATTCTGTGATGTCATCTAAAGCCTTCAGGGCCTGATAAACCAATTAGAATACAGTATATGAGTAAACCTACACTAGCACAAATAAATTGCATACTAGTTTATATACAGTATATAGTTTTGTATTTATATATTATCATAAGCTTATCAAATCTTTTTGGTTTTGCCTTTCAAAAAAAAATGTATTTCTAATGTAAATTTACGCAGTTTGTCTACTTGAGTGAGGATGGGCTACAGTAGAAATGTGAAATACGAATACTGGACTGAAAAAAGAGGACTGATTATTATGGGCTCAATTTGTACACTCTAAAGTAAAAGCTGATCATTATATATTTGTATGCCAGACTTTAAACAATGTTTGATTAGACATTATGAACTGGAGCACTGTCTGAATTATAACAGCCACGACAGACAAACATAAGATTTGTTGACCAGATATGTCTGGTACTGGTATGAGCATTTATATTGCGCCTTTTCCTTGTGGTTATAAAGCGCACGCCAAATCTTATAGTTCAGGAAAAAACTCAAGGCAGCATGTAATACAGCATTCAACAGAAATCACAAGTGCCACAACTGTAATGCCAAAACAATTAACAAAAGCAAAACACAACATGTACAGTGCAACAGACACAGCACTCAGAAAATAAACATTGGAAGTACTAGACAAACAAATGAGTCTCGAGCGCCCGTCAGTTTAAAAATATTGGTATCAGAATTGTCCCTAAGTTCAGGAGAGATATTATTCCAGAGTCTGGCAGCGTGACAAGAAAAAGAAAAACTTCCAATTCTCTTAGAATGATGTAGAACAGTAAAATATGCAGATGAAGCGAATCAAGTGGAATGTATCGGAACACTTAGGTTGAGAAAAAGCCAGGAATCCACACTTGATTTTGACAGTATATAACTGGCTAAAAGGGTAGATGCTGGAACCCCATACAGACAAACACATTGAACTGCATTTGAATCTCAAAATACCAACTCTAAGAAACACAATGTATTCTCTAGTCATTACCTGTTCTTGGTTCCTCGTTTCTTTCACTTCCTTCAATTTTGCAATTTGTGTTTCTCTAACTTTTGTGTTGTCAATAGAGAGAACCTCAACAGTTTCCTCTTGGTCGGGTGGTAACTGGTTCCTATTAACTCCAACAATCACCTCTGATATTGAAAAAAAAAAAAAAAAAAAAACATCCTGAGAAATTGTTTCGTTGATTTTTAACTATGTCATGCCATCATGAACATATTTGAAAGTCTTGATAGTTCTTTACAAAAAGTACATTGAGAGTTGTCAATTTTATCATTACAAAAAAAATTAAAACTATACAGAGAGGGGAAGGTGGACTTACTGGGCAAAAATAAAATTTAATTTTTATTCAAAATCATGAATTATGATTAGTGTTTCTGATTTCATAATTATGACTAATTAATATAAACTTGCTCACCTTGTCCAGAGTCTATCCTGGCTTGTTTTTTAGCAGCAACTTCTTCTATCTTCAATTTAGGATAACCGCTTGCAACAGCCTTTGCCATTCCACCCATAGCTTCAACCTGATAATAACAGACATAGAGGGATTACTAATATAGTATCAGCTTGTATCCGAACCTCTTTAGTTAACTTCAAATTTGGATTTTAATTGTAGTTCAACACCACCGTTGGGACCTGAAAATTTAGGGTGGCCTCGGGGTTCGGTCTCTATATAAAGGGGTTAGCTTCAGTGTTAATAGATTGAAGATTTTTACTTGGTTCGTTGAAAAAATGGTCTTGAATTAGATGGGGTCTCAAATTGGAGGGTGCACTGTATTTCAACTGGCACAACAGTAAAATAGAATACAGGCTGAAAATTATTGTAAATTTTAATGGTTACCTCTTCTATAACCTTCTCAGCAGCCTCATATATTTCATCGGTCAAGCACTCCATCATATGTGATCCACCCCAGGGATCAGCAACCTAAGTTGAATAAAAATAAAATTATCCTTCTGACAATTTCAATTAACATAATTAGTGTGATTTAACTAGGTTTCAGAGTCAGAATGCACTACAATGGATTAGTACCCAGCTAAGGGAAGTTTATTAATGAAGGTAAAATATGCAAAATGTGACCATGACCTCTGTAAATTACAGTATCTCATTCAAATTATTTGAATCAGTTCCACAATCACATAACACTAATTCACTAATTATTAATCTTTTTGATTGATTTATTCATTGCAAGAATCTAAAGTGAATGTGATGTGATATGAAAAGACTTGATTATAAACAGTATTTTGTAACCTTTGGAATTCCACTTTCTTCTTGCAGAATAATCTGAGTGTTCCTTGCAATACGTGCGCTTGTGATTGTTGGTAAGCCAAGAGCTTCATCAAATGAGTTAGTGTGTAGTGACTGTGTACCGCCAAACACTGCCGCCATAGCTTCCACTGCAGTGCGTATTACATTGTTGTAGGGATCCTAAAGACATAAAAGCAAAATGGTGGTTACTACAAATTATTACAGACCATAGAGATATATTAAGAATACTACAGCGTTAACTCAAACGCATTCGATCTTCCAAATACACAGAGCTATGTATGTGTACTCAAAAAGATCGCTGTCGTAGATCCAGCCAATCAAAATACACCTAAGCATTGTTTTCAATGGAGCGCTCTCAATTTAACCTTGAATGTTTTGAGTATGAAATAAAACTAGAGCGTTGCGATGTTGCTTTGTAGGGAATATGACTTTGATTTTTATTCCTCAGTACTTTATTTTATTAGATGCTCCACTTGGCCTCTTTTTGCCTACGATAGTTTAATAATTTATTAATATTATTAATAATGATGATTAATGAAACAATATTTTGTCAGAGGGCTTATTTATGGATACTAAGCCTGCAGCGACCATCTTGTTGAGTACACATACCCAACTCCGCACAGCTTCTTCGCCTTGTCACCACTCTAGTTGTTTAATAGCTCTATGCAAAGAATTAAATGATAGTTGCTATAGATATAGACATGAATTCAAATGGCAGTTGCTATAGACACTAACGACCTAGAATCAAATGGTAGTTGCTATAGACAAGAATCAAATGGTAGTTGCTACAGATACTACTGTATACTAAAGACATATAATTACATGATGCTGCAGTTGCCAGATGCTAAAGACATAGAATCAAATGGTATAAAAATGTTGACTGCTCATGAAGGGAATGGACCCTAGCCTATCTTCCCACTCTCCACATCACTGATCCCCAAATCTAGAGCAGCCAATGCTTGTTTTATATACCTCCATACATAGATTCTACGAGATCTAAAAAAGTAATGAAAAGAGTACACACCAAGCAGGCCTAGGCTTACTTCCTAGGGCTAGGTGATAAATGGCCCAATCTCTCGCAGTGTCAAGTCCCTTACCATGACATAAATTACATAGCAACGCTGTAGGTGGTGGCCTAGACATTAAACATCGCAACTGAGCAAAAAAGTACTATCATTTTGGGTGACAGTACCTTTTCCCTGAAAATGAACTACTGTACATCATAGGAGTGATGGTTGAAGTTACTGCCTGCTTCTTAACCAATCAGATGCGAAGAATCTATGTATGTAGCATATAATAGTTGCTATAGCTACTACAGACATAGAATCAAATGGCAGTTGCTATAGACACCACCAGGCTTGGACACCACAGACATGGAATGACAATGGAATTATTTTTTTTTACTATATTGTTATAGGAATCCTAAAGACATCAGTACATAAGTATGTAATATTGGTGGTTTGAACTTACTTGTTCAGTGAGTGACCAGCCTGATGTTTGGCAGTGACATCTCAGAATCATTGATTTCTCATTCTTGGGGCTGAAATGCTTCTTCATAAGATGTGCCCATAGCCTTCTTGCAGCCCTTAGCTTGGCTATCTCCATGTAGAAGTTCATCCCAATGCCCCAGAAAAATGACAAACGAGGAGCAAAGGCATCAATTTCTAAACCAGCTTCAATGCCTAGGCAAAAATGTTACAAATATATCAAGTATTAAAATAACATAATGCAGCATCCAATGTTGGAAGGATTTGAATTTACAACTATGGCATAATTATACATACATACACAATTTACAGTAAACAAAAATCAAAGATGGAAAACCAATATGTAAGCACTACTTGACAGAATACAGAATCCTATGGAATTGAAAAAAATTAATCTAATTTAATATTTTTGCAAAACTCAATTATACTCATGTAAAACCACCGTGTTAATCATTTAAATCTCTTTAGTTACACAAGGTATAAAAAAAACTCCATACCGTAGGTCTGTTGTGACTAAATGAATTAAATGGATTAATACATTAACTTATTACTGTAAATACATAAACCACTTTTTCGATGTTGTTTTGCATCAGGAAATTCCATTAGAGTTATGTTTTTGGAAATTTACTGAGTACCCAGTACAATAACACGTCAGGTAGCACAAAACATCACTCCTATATAAAAACTACATTACCATAACAATCTTAATAATAATAAATAACATGTTAGTGTTACTTGCTCTGAAGAGTCAGCCTACCTGTTCTGCAATATTGTAATCCATCAGCAATTGTGAAAGCCAGCTCTAAGACAGCATCTGCACCAGCCTCTTGCATATGATACCCAGATATGGAGATTGAATTGAATTTTGGCATGTGCTAAATATAAAAAAAAGAAACAATATTTTAATAAAATTTCTTCATTCTTGCAGTAAATTACAGGTAGAAAACTGTATGACATCGTCCTGTGTAGTTTAAATTCCATGAATGAATTTAAACTATACCACTTCAAATATTTAGCTATAAAGTGAGTTGAATGGCTGGGCAGTTAAGTCAGTGCCGCCACAACCAACAGCCATAAAACAAAAAATAAGCTACATTAAAAGAAAAACTGCATGATTATCTGGTCATTTAGCCACCATGAGTTTATAGAATCAATATTTTTCTTGCAAACATCCCTACCTTTGATGTGTATGCAAATATATCTGAGATGATTTTCATGGAAGGTTCAGGAGGGTAGATGTACGTGTTGCGCACCATAAATTCCTTAAGGATGTCATTTTGTATCGTGCCTGTCAGCAGTTCTGCAGGGACTCCCTGTAATTATAAGAATAAAAATTTACTTCATAATAAATATATAAGTGCTGATGATGAAGAAATAATTTCATTCTACAAAAATGATGTTAAAAATGGTGTTGTCACCATTAGTAGTTTTGTATTCAAGGAGGGCATGTATTTACAGTTGGCTGTTTATTCGAACATAGTATACCTCTGGTTCAGAGAGAGACAATGGAAAGCGACATACCCAGGAGGTTTGGTTAGGCTTAGAGTCAAGCCCCTGGGAGAAAGTCCTTAGCTTACACTTTTAATATGCGACTATCAATACAGATAAAACTGATAGTTCTCTCTAAAGCAGTTGCCTTACCTGTTCTTCTGCAGCAGCGATAAACATGGCCATGATTGGTAGGACAGCACCATTCATTGTCATGGATACTGACATTTTATCCAATGGGATGCCATCAAATAAAACCTGCAAAAATAAGTTTGATTTATAATAACATATTCATGTTATTTCAATTTTCTTTTCATATTAAGGTAATAAAATAATAATTGGTACACCACGTGTAAGAATATGCTTTTTGGGATAATTAACATAATTATTACCCTTTCATCTGTTGACTTATCAATTACACTATTGAAAAAATTATATTTCTGAATAATCTGTATATTATTTTTCTAAACATAGAAACATATTGCATTTTGTTAATACAAGCAATCCAAAACTTAATTTCTTCAAGCTTACCTTCATGTCTTCCACTGTATCAATGGCCACGCCTGCCATGCCAACATCACCATGGACACGGGGGTTATCTGAATCATATCTAATCAGCAAAAACACGAAAAAATATTACCAAAAGTTAAAACTAGGATATTACAATCTTCATCGTCTTGTTGATCATCATGTTGATTATCATTGAGGACAATGAAACATTTAATATTAAGCATGACTGATGAACCAAGAATTGGTTCTTTATGCCCTATAAGAAAGTCTGATTTACAAGACTTGGAGCGGTGGTTGTAAGATAAAAATAGGGTGAAAAGTGAGTATCTCAATCAGCTGCCCACACCCCTCCCCCCAACCAACCCCTACATTTGAAAAATGATGTTCAAATGTAAGTCTGAGAGTGCATTTCCGGTCATCTATAATAAATTTTCTCCTCCCAGCCCCGACTAAGCTGGTCTTGACCCTCTTTATCTGTAATAGTTTCTCCCCTGGGCCTCCTCTAGTCCTAGATCCGCCGCTGTTAATGATCACGCCACAGATCCACTACATTTTTCAAATTGCTTCCTTCCAAAAAAAACCCACACAATGATGGAGTCTATAGAAGGAAACTATATCATTATACAGTAAATGTATGACACCAATACGACACAGTGACTCAACAACAAATCCTAAAATTCATACCCACGATGAGTAGCAAGGTCGAAGGCCACACTCAAACCCTGTTGTCCTGCTTTGATATTTTGCTTGTAGAACTTATTGCTTTCCTCCACTGTACTGAAACCAGCATACTACAAAGAACATTAAGTCCAGAAAGACGATAATATCATAATACTGTAATGAAGGTGCATATATTACTATGTGATTTATCAATTATTTTAAAGAAATACTTTGAAAGAAAATATGTCCCTTTTTTTTGCAATTTATGTATATTTAATTTATGTCTATTGTAATTGACAAGAAACTTTCCTGTGACTGGAATAGCCCTCTGAAGTGTGGGTGACAGAAATAGACAGAGAAATTGATAACTTGTAGTGAACTATTTCTAGATTGGTGGTACCTACATTACTGTGTGATATGATCCTCTTGTGTAGAGGGTACATGACCTTTTTCTGTTGGTGGTTATGACCCATTATGTAAATAATATTAATAAAAATACAACCCTCAAGTGTACACAAATTCATTATACAACCCTTTTGTATTTCATCTATTGTGCAGGGACACAATCCAATGATAAGACAAAGTCCAGTGAATAATAAATCAAATTATCGATGGATTGGGGTAGATATATGCCTGCAAGGCATGATGCCTTGTCGTGTGAGGGAGGTAGTGTATTGGTTTATACAGTTCCTACATAACTAATAGTCCATGGTTTTTGTGTAATCATATAAGATACAGCCCTTGTTTTGTGCACAGGTAGTAGTGTATTTGTTAATGTGGGTTACTATACCTGTCTGATAGTCCATGGTCTTTGTGTGTACATTGTTGGATATGGCCCTCTTGTGTATGGATATTTACCAGGTATCTCATCACTGTGCTGAGCTGTATCTTGTCTTGTGTATAATGGCTTCAAGTAGATCCCCTATAAGTCACAAGACAAGACATTAAGCAATTTCTGAGATGTTAGTCTTTAATTTCGGCATATACTGACATCAACAGGGATTAAACAACATATCATTGGCTCTTATCTACTTTGTCTTCCCAATAGTGCTTAATATCTTTGGTTAAATATGAAAAACCCTGAAAAACCAATTAAGAAGTCATTACTAAAAAAAAGACATTCTACAAAAACCATTAAATTAAAAAAAAATGTTGGAATGGTTTTATTTATGCATGCAAATTAACTGAGATTGTGGGGTTTAACAATGTTAAATGCAGCCAAGAAAAATGTAAACAATTTTATACAAAGAAATTTAAATATGATCTATTCAAGGATATGAAAGAAAAATGTTTGCCTCTAACCTCATGTGTTTTCCATGTTAGTTTTTCTTTTGGATCTCCTCCACGTAGTTGTTTCTTCGCAAGCTCATTCCATTCTGGATGAAGGGGTTCTCTGTGAAGGTTCCGAGCTCCTAGTGGACGCGGAAGCTGAAATTACAATTATCAACAATATAGCAAGTCAGTATGATGAATGAGCCAGCATTTGAAAAGAATGCAATGCAAGTTGAGGTGAGTTAAGTGAGCCTACCAATGTGACCCTTAGAGAGGAAGAAAGCTGAATGAGGTCAAAATGTGGTTCAGTAGCTGCCGTATATCTACGTGATTTTACAATGAAAAAGAATTTATAAGCCATTCATAATCTGCACTCTGCATGCCTATTTCAAGATCAATCAGCATAAACATACACAACATGCACTACAACAGACCTGCCAACTCACCCGATCCTGTTGGGTGTTACCCGATATTTAAACAAATCTCCAGTTCTCCCGATTGAATGTAATTTTCACCCAATTTCACAGACCACCCCCTCCCCAAAAATACTCCGATTTATGCATAATTTTGATCGATTTGATCGTTATTATTCAATGTATTAGCCGCCTGCTCGCTTTGCAGTGCAATAAACAAGCAAATATTTTCAATTCAAATGTCACCATTAACGGCCAATAATGATTTGTAGTGATGTGACTTTTTTCGTATCTTGCATCATCTTTTGGTTAATTCTGGAAACCTCCAGATTTTTTGGTAAATTTCCAGATTTTTTTTTAAGATTCTTAAAAAAATCTCCAGGTTTTCATGACACAAGGGTTGGCAGGTCTGCTACAAACAACAGCTCTTAGATGGCATGCACAGTTCAAACTACAAAATGGCTTATTGTCTGAACGTACGTTTTTAATTAAGTTTCCTACAAGATATCTACACTTGGGCAAAGCTCGTAGCATTTTGAAGCCATCCACTCTGTAAATAAAATAAAATTTTCATTAGGCCTGGATAATTACTCAAGGGATAGGATAATTGTATAGAAAAAAATCCCAGCCCTCATTGACTATTCAAAAGGCAAGCATATACAAATTAGGCACTTCAAATATGAAATTAAATTCTTAATAAAGTTCAGTACTTATTGTGTTTTTATCCTTCAATATTATTTTTGTATTCAGAATAAAGAAATAAAAAAAAAAAAAAGTAAAAAAAAAAATTTTTGTTAACAGAATGGACACCAACCAAGTTCCCCTTTTATTCGCGTCTCATTTTTGTTAATTCAATAATTTTTTGTTTTTGACTTTTAATTGTTGGGGGTTTTTTAATTTTATAACTTTCCTGTGCTTCTGTTTTGATATTAATATTATTTATTCTTTCATGGATGGTTGTTTTTAAAAAGAAAAAAAAAGTTTTATTATCATAAATATTACATTACAGAAGGCTAGGGCAGTAATACAATAATGGACTAAAATTGTCAATAGTTTTAACCAGGGATACTGTATTCATCCTAACACATGTAAGTATTTTACTGTTGTCTGACTAAACAACTCCCTGGGGTTTTAAATAAATAATAAAACAATTGGAATTTTTAGGCATTTATCATTTGCATGTTTACTGAATGCTAATATCAAAGCATATCAAATGAATGCTTGCTAAACCTACTACTATACCACAAGGAAAGTTCCCGGGAATGATGAGGCCTCGGGTATCAACATGTTCCTCAAATTCCAGGCATTTTCAGCTTCGCAATGACTAGCTAGTCTTACTTAGCATACAAAATAATCGACTAGCTTAGATAAGTCCTTCACACAAATTAAAAGCCGAACTGAAGCTCAGCTGAATGAGGTGGTTCCAAATTCTATATTAACGCAACATTTTTATATTTGCTGTTCACCTCTGTGGAATCATAGCCTAGGCCTAAGTATTAATATAATGAGATCAGTAAAACTATGGAATTACCAAACTATGCCTTGGCCTACCGTACCTCTCTCCGTTCACAGACAGACGTGACCTAGCCTACTTCGGCGGGACGACGAATTGCGAATTGCAAGAGCGAGAGATTACTACTTAGCGGCTGTAACTGAAGGCTAAAAATAATTTACAATTCCCCTTCTCCCCCTCCTCGCGTTTTCCTCCTGATGAAAATTAACTGTTTTGCCCACGTGTACTTTGTGTTGATTGTATCTTTTATGTTCATGTTGTTGAAATCAAGCTAGAAAATATACTACTCGCCAATATCGTTTCATATTCGATCTTCTTCGATCTGGAAGTTTTTTTTTTTTGTTTTTTTTTTTGTTTTTTTGGCAGTGTCCAATGTTTCAATAAAATATGCAGGCCTACTGACTGTAGTTCCAGCAAGCCTTTTAAAATTTAGAATTTTTTCTGCTTTTATCACCATTTAGATAAATTGTCAGTAACGTCTACAAAATGTTTACCCCCTACTGTGTGCCTAATTTGCTATCTATAAGTAAAGTTTGAACAATTACATACATTCATCATGGATTGAAGTAATCAAATTATTCGATTTAATCTAGAAATGAAAACAAAAAACAAAAAAAGAAAACACAAAAAGAAAACACAAAAACACTTACACAAGACACAATTTAAAGTCTAATAATTTTCGAGAGAGGATTTCCCAACCCCAAAAACGTTAACGACCAACTGTATTTTCTTTATTAGAGTTTATAAACATAATGGTTCTTTATTTTTATATTTTTGATAGCCAAGTCTATTAATTAATTTATTATATTCTGTCTAAGTAATTCCACTTTCATGACGCAGCACTGGTTTTTCACAAATGAAACACACACGATGAACTAAAAATATGAAATCTAATACAGTAATAACAAATGTAAGAATAAATAATGATAATAAACCTAAAGTATAATGAATTAGGCTTAAAATACATTTAGGGTCATGATTTTGAAGAATAAAACTGTTGTAAAATCAGTAACTTTTTTTTTTTCATTGTTTTGTATCTGTTTTTTCATGGTTTTTTCATTGTTGTATCATGGAGGTATTATTGGTCTGTTTTTCATTCTGCTTTTGTCTTTTGAGGGATGTTATTCTATTTCCTTATAAATTGTTTAAAAAACTATTGGAATTCTGTTCAAGTGACCAAAAAATCTAGAAATAAACAAGTAAAAATAGTTCTGTTTTTAGAATTATCATTTTCATCCATGAACTTTATTCTTAAATTTTGCAATACAGTACAGTAGGTGAATTAAGGGTCACGTCTACCGCCTCCATGTTTCAACCAATGAAAGTCAACTATAACCATAACCCAACCATATTTGGAAGACCAACCGATTGCGTCATATCAAAGAGTATAAATAGAACAAGAGAGCAAAGTCCCGTTCGTAAAAACGTCACGCCTGTGTAGGACGCCCACTAACGGTTGTATATTCTTTTTATTACCCAGTGCAGCGCAGCGCAGCGCGGTAGAAGTACGCCCGCTATAAACTCA